TGGGGACTTCTGTATGTTGAAGATGAATTTGCTTTTTTCTAATTCTTGATCTCTTTGGTAGTTTGAAATTTGGGTTCTTCCTTGCCCTTTGTTTATGTAAGAATGTCCTCTGCTTCTGTAAATCTATAATTGAATTGCTTTCCTGAAGTGTTATAGGAAAGAATAGGATTAAAAAGTAATGACTAGAAATGGGGAGAAGTGTTTCATAAGTTAAGGTTTTGATGATTTGGCAGTTTAATGTACATAAACCTGATAATGGTCTTCCTTCTAACTTTAGTTTTTTAACATTTACTTAAGAGTGTGGTCCTTTTGTAGATACACAGGGCTCTGTGGTGACCCATTTTTAAGACTAAGTGAAACTCAATAGCTGTTGCTAAGGGCAATTTTTCTTCTATTAACTAAGAGCAGAGGTGACCTAAAGGTGGTATGAAATAGCCCTAGAAATCCCAATATTTAAATAAAAGAGTTAATTTCATGCTTTACATCCTGCAGTCACCTTTTATGCTGATTGTCCTGTAATTCTCCATCTGAAGCAGACACTTGGATATAGAGGGAGAACTGTCTGCCCGCAGAGCACTTGGAAACCCTTAGACTTTGCAGTACTTGCTGTTTTCTTTGCTCTTTAGACACAGACTAGGCTTATACACACTGACTCTGAAAACAGGATTTTGGCTCAGGGACTAGATAAATTTAACCTGGCCCTAGTGGAGATAGCAAGAGTTCACTGAAAGCACACTAACTATTGCGGGTGAATCCAGATGTGACCCCACTGGCACTGGCACAGTTATTGAAGGAGTTTGTGTACATGGTGGTGAGGGTGTAGGTGCCATCTTCTGTGGTCTTCAGAGGCCCAGTTGAACTTTCATTAAATTTAGCTGTGGCCTTTGCTCCACTGTGGCAGAAGGGAAGATTTAGCCCCTGTTTAGCAACAAGATAAAACTCCTCAGTGTGGGTTTTAGGTGAAAGTTCTGGGTTTGGTTCTTCATTTTTGGTTTGTGGGGTTTTTTTTTGGTGTTTTTTTTTTTTTTTTGAGTAAGTGTGTATAATATAATGTGTACTCAGTCCAGTTTCTTGAGTCTAGAATGAAATGTGTCATAATCTCTATGATCTTATCTAAAGGAAAAATCTGTACAGGTTTCTTAGGATCTTTCAAATGCAAGTGAATGGCCAAGAATAGGAAACGTGTAGTGAACCATGAAAATGCTTTTTTGGGGTGTGACAGTTAAAAAATTTGCAAGAGGGAAAGTACAGGCATCCTCTCTATGCAACTCTGGCATTGTAGTCTCTCTTGAAACTCTCAGATTGCCTATATTTTGTGAATGCCTCAACACAATCTTCAAGAGCTAGTAGACTGTATTTACTGCACAGCCACAGAAATGTGTTTCAATACTTGTTGGTTGTTCAAATACCCATTTATAAACATCACTGACCATCTTTCATTATGAAATGTTACAAATTAACATGGCCTTTAAAATTATTGGCGAATCTGTTCTCTCATGGTAATCAGTCACTTCTAAAGCACAAGCTATAGCATCTAATATATAATTCGTTTCAGTAGAGGCAATTATGTTGATTGCAAAATCCATCAGAATACACTGGCTCTAAAAATAAGTGTATAAGGCAGTCCATATTTAGCAAATTGAGGTTATTAATCAGACCCTGTTCCTTGCATATCATTCATCCCCATGGTGAGCATTTTGCAGCACCCTTGTCAGGGAGTGGCAAGCAAGGGAAGGTAGGCAAGAACTGGGGATGGCAACAGTGCAGGCAGGAACAAGGTAGCAGCATGGATAAGCTACAGGGCAAGTTAGAGATCTATCTACAACACAACTCAAGCCTGTGCCAGGGGGAGTAGCTAGGCTTGAGCACAATTCAAGGGCACAGGCCTCAGTGGAACCCCTAGATGGGCTCCTCAGTGGAATTACAGCTCCTTGGTGTACTGAGGACCCTGACCAGGATCTTTGCAAGATACATAAATCGAGAGCTATATACAGAAATAGATGGAGATCCTTCCTGCAGGCTGCACTTCTTGTGAAGCTGTAAAAACACTGTCAACATATGGGATTGGAAAAGCAGACACTGTAATTCACTGACATTCTGGGAGATCCTGACTCTGCTTTGAGAGGGAAATGGATTGACATCTTCAAAGTCCGGCTACTGGACGAGTACAGTTACTTCATGTGTGCAGAAAAGAAGTGGTGCCTGTGAAAGGTGGGAGCATCCATATTTCAAATCTCATTGTCCTAAAAGTCAGAACAAAACCTCACTACTCTATATCTTCAAATGATCTGGCTGAAAATGAGGGTGGTTTCACATTCTTGCTTTCCAACATGCTCCTGAATTTTTTACAGATAAGCCAAATAATGTGATAGAGAGCATAAACTAGTGAAGACAAATTCCTGAGCTGCTGCCAGCTTTTCGTGGCAGTACAATTAGCTGTTAAATACAGGCTCAAACATGCACTTTTATAACGATGTAATTGTGAGCACATAGCAATGGCAATAAATTGAGTTAGAGTAGGAATGTCCTCCAACACTTTTTCTCCTACACTAGTGGATATGCTGTACTTCCCACAATACTAATTTTTCCTTGGGCATATTCTACCTTATTCACAGTGGCACATACAAACATTTCGGGCATAAGGAATCCAAGCCACAGGTGTTTTAACCATTAGACTCCTCTGAAGGGGAAGGGATTTGGATATTTCAGTTTAAAAAAAGGGAGATTAATATAGCTTTTTGAGTCTTGGCCAAGTTATGCTCATAATAAAAACCAAACATCTTTATATGGACTCTACTATGGAAAGACGGTCATCAAAAGAACCCTGCAGGAAAAATAGCTGCAGTAGAGTTACACAGTGAAGACACAGTATTAAATTAATAATGTGTCAACTAATTCATCTCCTGGTGGTTTCTCTGGTTGTTTCTCTGCTGTTGAAATACTATTATCTAAAGATCTTTGATGAAACCTATCCTGACAGAAAGATGAGCAGTCAGCTACCTCTGAAAAAAGAATTTTTGTAGGAGGTAGCAGGAAATGTAATCCCAAAATTTGCCCACAGTGGGACTCAAGAAAGAGCTAAACTAACTAAAATTGCCTGTACTGGGACTATAAGAATGTGGTTTAAAAGTTTTGATCAAGTGCAGGAACAGGGAGCTTTTTTTTGTTTCTGTTCAGGTATTCAATTGGTAGACAAATTTTGACCCCTGGAATTCTCAGAACTGACTACACACTTATATAAAGTGTGTATTTTATTGTTAATATTTACAAGGGCTTAGGAATTTTTTTGTTGTTGTTCAATGAAATAACCAGTTTTGAAGGAAAAGAGAAAAATGCTTCACTGTAAAAGAAGCTAAATGACAAAGACCTTCTCTCTCCTCAAGAACCTCTTACAAGTGTACTGATTGTGAATGCAACCTAGGTACAAATGCCCAATATTCACCCCCCCATCTTTTTGTGATGTTTCAGCATGCATGCCAATGCATTAGTGTAAGTGTATAATGATATTGCAATGCATGAAAGCTACAGAAACTGTCTGCTGTATGTGACATGGATATATATCTGTCTTTGTAGATTTTGTAGACACAGAAACTGCCTTGGAACCAGGGGGTATGTGGGAGAGCAGGGAATAGGGAAAGAGACAATAGCTGCTTATGAGAGTGGAAAGTGAACTGTTGTGAAAGAAAATAGACCAAATAATAATACATGAAAAGAGGAGAGGAAGAAAAGTCGAAAATTGCATTAAAATATAACTAATTTTACTCAAGTAACACCTTTAATTGCAGGTAGAAGTGCTTGTCATCAATTCAACTAAAAGAACATTCACTGGAGTGGGTTTGCATGCATTTGCAGGTGTCTTGCCAGGAATAAATATTTCCATGGAATCTTAAATTATATTTTACTAACTTAATATTCAAACCTATATGTAAAATGAGCCCCTCCTTCTTCCTAGTTAGGAAGAATTAAGTTCCTGTGTGAAGTTATTTCCCAGAGGGGCTTTGCTCCTGTAGTAGACCAGCTGGCAGTCAGGGAGCAGGAACATTCCTAAGCACAACCAGTGACTATGGGCTCTTTTTGCTGACTGTAAAGATGACAGATAAGTTAAGGTTTTATTACCTACTCTGATCAAAAGATTCATCCATCTCACATGAGCTGTGCTCTGAAGTAATGAAGTGGGTAAGTATTGCACAATTAGGAATTGTGCTGCACTCATTATCTCACTGGTGGGGGAATCTGTAAAATATTCAGAGTTGTTTGGAAAGTATTTGCTGCTAAATAAAGTCTATTGAAAATGTACTTCAGCATTTTATTACCAAAGATTCTGCTCTGTCTTAATGAAGTGGAGGAAGGACAAGTCTTCTGAAGGATTTTTTGATTTATAAAATAAATGAAATAATATGTTTTGTTGTATGTAACAGATGACACTTTTTTTTTTCATTTTTTGGTCTCACATTATTTTCTAGTTTAAGTATCAGTTATAGCAGACTAATCTGTATGAGACATGAATTTTATTTAGAATTATTTCTTAGCTGAAATCTTCTTAGGTTGAAAGTTTGTGTTTTCTAAATATAGAGTCAAAATAAATAAAACCATGTATTCGTGTTCTTACAGTCCTGTTTGACTAATACAGCAGCAGCTCCTGCTAAAACTCTTATGCATTATGATTTATATACAGACAGTTTGAAAAATGTCTTTGCCATTTTTCTTTAATGCGCTAGTTCCCTGGCCATTAAAAAACCCTGACCTCAAGTACCTCATGAATTTTGCACATGATGTCTGTTGCATAAAGCAGATATTATTATTATTTAATGAACCTATGTATCTGATCCATCATTTCAGTTACAATCCTGGTAGCCTTGATCCCACATTTAAAGCTTTCTAGAACAAAGGGAGAAATCAAACCAAAAAAAGCTAGCTTTAAACTAGACCTGAAGCTTTTATTTCTGATCTGCCATGTTTGTGAGATAATAACAAATTCTGTTTATTTTGTTCTGTTCTAGCTGTTTACCTCTGCAAGCGGACAATGCAAAACAAAGCAAGGCTAGAACTAGCAGACTATGAAGCTGTAAGTAAAAAAGCAAAAAGTAAATTTCTCTGCTGGGCCTGATGAGCCTGTGAAATAATGTGAAGCATGAGAACTGTGGGCACTATGTGTAAAAATCTATTAGTTATCCAATTCTTCCAGCTTGTGGGTGTAACGCTGCTCAGTCTTAAATGGCTTTTGAGAGGTGATAGTGAAGGCTAACTGGACGAGTGCTGAGATTACAGTCCATCTCTAATCTTACTCTGCTAAGATCCCCATGCCAGGATCACAAATAACTTCACAAATCCCAGTTGCACCGTGAGTTTTTGGAAGCAGTTGTTCTCTACACCATTTAAGGTTTGAATGAAGGATCCCTGACAACATTTCCAAAAGCTCTTGATAGAAGTAGAAATGTAAATCTCATTCTTTATAAGTGATGCTGACACTTGAGCCTTTTCCCATCAGCTAGATGAGAGGCAAAGAGGGTCAGACTAGAGCATTCCTACTCCCTGACAGTTGTGCTGTGCCTCGGGCAAGGTAAGATAATTGGGGCCAGGAAGAGCTTGAAAAAGAGGGAATTGGAAGCAGAAAGATGTCTTGAATTCCAACTCTACCCCCAAAAAGTTCCTGAATTTTTCATGAGACTGTCAACATAAAATTCACAAACAGCCGTGTCTCTGTGCTGAAAGCTGTCCAGCTGTGCTGCTGTGACCTGATAGCAGGATAGTCAGCCAGGCCTCTCGACACCCCAGATAGTCCAGCCACAGCACCATGCTGACACACTGTATTGCTTCTTTTGGCACAAGCTTGTTTTTCAGTGTACTGCACTGTGGGACATGCATAATTTTATACTCTCATGCCTTAGAAAACTCCCCTTCAATGTACAATCCATAAGAGCCTTTCTGGCTCTAGACCTCTAGAAAGTCTGCGGCATAATTTTATACTCTCATGCCTTAGAAAACTCCCCTTCAATGTACAATCCATAAGAGCCTTTTCTGGTATGGACAAGACCTCTAGAAAGTCTGCTCTTCTCTTTCCGTAGTCTTCATTTTCAGTGAGTATGGCACAGAGATATGTTTGCAATGCATAGAAATATAGTAAAAACAACACTTTTGTTAAGAGGACTGCATACTGCTGCTGATTAAGCTGGGGAGAGATTTAGAAAGCTCTGTTGGAGGCAGTGAAAATGTTCCATCATCAATGGCAGAAAGAATTTTGCAATGATTTTATAAATTTTCTTCCTGTTATTATTAGCAGGCTGTAGGATAGATACATTTCCTGTACAGTATTGAAGAACTATAATCTGCATTTTTAAAAATCGAGGATAGCTGTGGAGGTTTGCCTATACTACCAAAAATGGCAGCCAACACTGTTCAGTGGAAACCGTTTGCAAAGATGACTGATGAAGAATTGTCATGTGGATCATCCAGAATGGAGATAACTGCTGTTATCTTTCATTGTTACATACTTTCAAAACAATGATGTTTTTTTGTACTATTTCAAAATTGCTAAGATAACACACAGTATATAAAAATGTTTCAGAAATCACATGTTCTCCTGAAGGATGCATCTACCCTTTTCATCAGAATTTCAAAACTAAAATAGTCGAGGCATTCAAAAGTATTCCATCTCATTGGGTGTCAAGAACAAACTTTGTATCAGACAAGTAAGGTCCATTTCCACTGACACATATATCATGACTTTTATTACATTTTTGGTGAGGGGGAGGTGAGGACAGGAGTGAAAGATAAAGCCTGTACCTATTAAAGCGTAAATAACTTGCTAGCTAACCCACTAAAATTGTGATGTATTTGCAGGAGAGTTTGGCCAGGCTACAGCGAGCTTTTGCTCGGAAATGGGAGTTTATTTTTATGCAAGCTGAAGCACAAGCAAAGTAAGTTCCTTTGGAGATGAGCAATTTTCATTTTGCATGATTTTTTTGAAGCGGGCGGGAAGTGGTTGGACGCATTTTGTCTTTAAAATTACTGTCCTCAACACTGTTTCTTTTAAATGTCCTATGACATTGACAGGGTTGACAAGAAGAGAGACAAGATAGAGAGGAAGATCCTTGACAGTCAGGAGCGAGCGTTCTGGGATGTGCACCGTCCGGTGGTGAGTGCTGGTGGGGCCACTGGCTCTGTGAGCAGGGCTGCTGATAAATGTCACCTTCTGTGGAGCTTTGGGGAGCCTGGGCGCAGCTAGTTAAACAGCAGTAGGGTGAGGGGTTGGGTCTTGCTTCCCTCTTTTAAGGATCTAAAGTTTATATGAATCTGATATTGCAGACTTCAGATGTGTGTGCATCCAGTTCATGATTTTCAGTGAATAGATGTGTTGTGCCTGCTTTCTTGAATCAGAAGGTACCTGTCTTTGACTATTATAATCTCAAAGGTTTCCTGGGGTATGAGTCACACAGCCAAAATTATCAGCATAACTAAAAATACTCTTAAATAAGTCTGACTATTTTTCTTTTTTAGTCTGCTTTTTTGCTTGCTAAGTCTTTTAACTTCACTCTAGTTATGTTTCCAAGCTATTTTTGAAGTGCATAAAGATTAGATATTGGCTTTGAGCTGTGGGAGTCACTGTCTAAACAAGATTTGTCTGAGTTCTTTGTCAAAGTCCATCTGAAACAAAAGTTCAAAAAAGAAATTTTCTTACATACCCAACTATATTTGAGTGCTAAAATTATGAAAAAAGAATGTCAATTATTACAAAAATTCTGATTAAACTGTACTTGTTTTTTTGCTTTACTACAGAGCAATATTGAGTTGCTCCGAAAGCTAGAGTTAAGCTTTCCTTTTCTGTTTATGCCGTTTGGTATCATTACCAATGGAAAAATATATGAACTACATATTTTGCTCTGACACTGGGGAAATCTGCTTTTAGTGGGGGAAGTAAAATTAGGTGATGACACATGTGGAAGATTAGAATGAAATGAGAAAGTTCAAATAAAAAATAATAAACTTGATCATGGTCAGCTTACATTTGTGACTGTGGAACTGAAGTGGTTGCAGAAGCAATGGATTTTTAGGTAGGATTTAGAATGTCAGGTAGTGAAAATAACTTGATGTGAAAGTTTCCAACCACAGGAAAGAGATTCAAAAAAGATTGGGATGTTATTGTCTAATCACTGACATAAAACAAGGAAGGAGAACAGAAAGCAGTTTTCCATCTGATGTAGGTTGGAGCTACAAAGGGAATAAACACAAAGTATCTATGGACCTGAGACCTGTGAAAGTGCAGAGAGTTTTTATATTTGCTGCAGAAATGGATCTAAAGGTTTTGAATCTGAGAATGAGATGTTATTTTCAGGTTTGGAAGAGATGAATTGTTCAAGCTTCAAGAGAGTAAAAGGGACCAGGAGAAGAGGAAATTGAATCTGATTAAGAGCTTTGGCTGAACTGTGGATAAATCTGCCTGGTCCAGCAGATGTTTTTAATCTGGCTGTAAACATACCTAGGAAATATCAGAGGCAAAAGACTGGCTTACAGTCAGCAATGTAGGCTCCTGGCTTTAGAAGATATAAATAGATGAATGGATAGGTTCAGTGAAATAATATTTTTGAAAACACTGTTATGAATTTACTGTCACAGTAAAATCCAGAAGTTTCTTTTGAAAAGAGCAAAGGATAAAACACAAAAAGACTGAAAAGGGGAGTGTGATGCTAGAGCTAGTTACAATTTGTAATGGACTTTCAAGCCTCCAAAAAGCTTCCCAAAAATTTACAGAAATGGTGCTGCAACTCTGGAGAGCAAAATTTTTTTAAACTGTTTTTTAAGGTGATGTTTGGATGAGATTCTGTGTATAATGCTTATTTTTATTTACAGTGTTTCACCTTTTGATAAAAGTTTAGAGGCTAGGGGCAGTGACAACATAGTTCAAAATCCACCCCAATGTAATTTTTTTTTCACTGAAAATGAATTTTGAGGATGAAATGTTTCATTATTTTTGGTTGGTTGGTTGAAAGTGAGTAAATAAATATTTTTTTCAGGGTTTTCTTGCAAGCATCCTGGTCCTTAGTTGTTTTATTGCTATATTTGTTACCTACCCAGCTACAGTACAGATACAGAAGATTCCCATGAAAAAATATAAACTATGAATACTAAATTTGCATTATATTTCAACTTTAAGTTGATGAAAGGACCAGAAGAGGGAAGCAAGTCATCATTCCTAAAGGACAGTGCAGCAGTGCACTACAGGAATGGGAGACATGAGAACAGCTGTATTGCAGTGGGGACAAGAGAATGGCAGTGCAGAAAAAGAGGATGATTAGCTCTCAGAAATGTCACTGTGACTCATAGTGTTGAAATAAGGGAAATTAACCAAGATTGGACATGTGAAGAGGATTTGCCTCAAAAAACACCTTTTCATAGGTCCCAAGTCGAAGGAAACCCTGTAGATGATTACAGAAGTTCTAGAAGATTTATGCCATAGTCTGACAGACAAATTCTTGAAAGTCATTATGACTGTTACTTTTGATTGGCTGGCCCATAATTTTTTCCAGGGTCTTCAGACTCAGATGATGTTTGCAGATGAGCCAGAGGAATTGAATTTGGAAAGGTTTATTCAAATAATCATCTACTGCTCAGTTTTCTTCCGAGAGACAGTTAAGAGAACAGCTTTGTTATCTCACTGTTGAGCTTCCATTCCAATGTTTATTTAATTGCTGTTTCCCTGTGGGGGTGTTTTGGTTTGGTTTTCTTTTTTTTTTTTTGGTGGGGGGAGGAGAGTGGATTTTGTTATGAGTATTTCAGGGTATGTGGAGTGCAATCTTGGTAATTTCTGTAAATCCCAATTTCTGCTTTATGTAGAAAAATCTTACCTTGCAGTTAGAAAGAGTATGGCTGATAGATAACTGCAGCCTGCAGAGACATTCCCAAACAATATTTAATTTTACTAGTTCAGATACCACCAATAGAAAAATCATGGAAATTTTTTTCAGGGAGAGCTGTATAAAATCCCTTGCAATCCTGAGCATCAGGCCTAGGAGGAAGTCCATGCTGTTATTTCCAAGGTAGAGCCAGTATCTGGCATAGGTCTGAGATTAGTATTATTCACATATAGTGATGTGATTTCTCTTTTTGATGGCAGAGTAAACATATCTTGAAAATCTTTCTCTTCTTTTCACCTGCCTAGGAAGTGTATTATTTTCATAATTTTGAAACTTCTGTTGATAACAGACTGTGGAAATAAGCAAAAATTGGTTAGGAGGATTAAGGTGTTAGTCAGAAACAATAACAAATCAAGCCAAATTGTGGAAGTGAGTTACTTCTAGAAGAAAGAAATTGAGAAGCTGCTTTTGTTCAAAAAGAAATGTCATGCTCCTTATTAAAGTCTTTGAAAGAGAATTTGTTTCATCTTTCCTGAATTATTATCTCTTTTTAAATTCCATAATCTTACACTTGTTAAGAAGGGACAAACAGGTACTAAAACAGTAAATCCTATAAAACATTCTCAAACCCACACTAAATACAGTCAGGGCAAAGTAGCTGTGGCTTGCTCTAAAATTAACTCTTTTAGGTAACAAGTGAGACAGTTGATGTCTTGCTGCTACAAATAATTCACTTTTCTTCCTGAGTTACATATTCACGAAATAATACGGCAATAATAAAAAATTCCTTTTGAGTACTTGCTGAGATTCACATTAATTCCAAAGATAGTGGGGGAAGTATCCTTTTCTTTGAAAGTCACCTGTATACTTTGTAACTGTAAAAACTTGAAAAAGCATTTCATTTTCTCCAATGCCTCTCTGACCTTTGTCATCAGTCTGTGTTGGTTGTGTTACAGTCACATGTAGCAGGTTTCTGTGCAGTTGTTTTCAAAATGAAGATGGGAAATACATAACAGATACACTAGAAAACTGCATTGGCATGAGTCCCTCTCCAAAGTTTAAACACTGGCTGTGGTTTAGTCATAGTGTGATTTGATAAAGCATGAGCATGAGTCAAAGTGTGAGCTCGTTCTTTCCTTCTGCCATTTGTAACTTGTATTAAAACCAATCTGCAGGATTTCTATTCCCATTGCTGTTAGTGCTTTGCTGGTTTATGGTGATTATTTTGGTTCTCTGGGGGAAAATGGATATAAAATATTGATAAGGGTCATACTTAATGACCTTCAAGGTCTATTCCAACCTAGATGATTCTATGATTTTATAGAAAAACAACAACCGAATTTGTGTGATTTAATACAGGACAGAGAAGTATCTGGGGTGAGTATGTCTGGATTTGGGTGTTCCTTGCCATTGCTTCCTAGCACCAAACTAGGAAAACAGTGTTCTTCAAATATTTTATACTTTGTCACATATCCCACACCTTTTGCTTCTCTCTCTTTCTGAGATTCTATGTCCATTAATTTAATTTTCTCTGTTTTTTTTTTTTTTAGTTGTGTTTTAAGTGGTCTGAACATGACCCTTGACACCTGGCAGATAACATTACCAGGAGTTGAGGGCCCAGGCAGTGGTTTCTTCTGTATTTTAACAATCATTTCATCCTGTCCTTCAAGATCAACCTCAGAGAGTTGTCAAAACAGTGACTTTACTTTGGATAAGATGGTGCATGCCTGCATTTCATACTCAGTGCTAGACTTTTCTGGGCCAGTCACTTGTTTAGCCAGAGAACACTTATCTCTGCTTTTTCATAATATTTTCAGAAAATTATTAATGTCTTCAGAAAGCAAATGTGAATCATGGCATCCAACTTCTCTAGTGATATATATACATATAATTTTCATGTTTTCTTTTGCACCTGTTTGACCATATATCCTCTACAGCAGACAGGGAATGCAGCCAAACCAGGAATTGTCATTCTCAGATAATTGCCCTTCTGGTGATGAAACAAAGCCTTTTACAATGCTTTAATTTCAAAAAATGGTTATAATGTTTATGATCCATACTTGCATGTGCTTGAAGCACATATTTCTAAGCCTTCTAGCTGGCCTGCTAAGATCTTTGTGGAAGATTTTGTATTCACATTATTTAGTATTTTTATTTAGTCGAATACTTGAGTAAAGATGGGGTAGATGGGGAAAAAGAAGCAAAGTTTCTTGCAAGAGTGCAACAAAATGAATTTTTGGAAGTTAAAATTGAGAGCTAACAACCTGTGAAATAGTTAATTGAT